ACACATCTGAATATTTGGGTTAAACTGTTCTGGAACAGTGTTGTAAATACCACTGATTTGTAGTCGTGTCCTCTTTTGGAAGACCAAACAAAGTAGTTTCACTTTCACAACGAAAAACACAGCGGCCTAGCATGAGGGGAAGCCCCAGCTTAGCGTGCGCTGAGGCCGGGATAGAGTGAGCTGAGGCGTCGGGGTCGAGAACGGCGCACCCGGCGGATCCGACGAATGAGTGGCAACCACATGTGACGAGGCTGGACTCCGCTTCATCCACGGTGAAAGTTGATGTATTCTCTCAGCAACCAGCACGGATCAGCTCTAGGCATGACGAAGCGGATATCGTCTTCTTTTGGAAGACCAAACAAAGTAGTTTCACTTTCACAACGAAACACACAGCGCCTTCACGACATGGCTGCAGCGTCAACAAGTGAGTTTAGTGAGTTTAGTGAGACTAAAAGTTACGCCTTCTTTCTTTGCGTGAACATTTGGGCGGCGTTATGCAAATCTTCCCACATAGTGAGGTAGACATGTGGGGGCGTGTTAGAACAAGCCGTTTTAGGTAGGTGTGGCTGACTCTTAACTTTTATAAAGAATAACTCTTTGGATTTGAGACTTTAGTCTTTGCAACTTTACAGATCTTCTTTATGCACCAAGAGCTTGCAACACTCCAAAGAGAAAGGAAAACTTTAAATCGCATCATATGACCCCTTTAAATATCTCCATCTCCAACCCCCTCTATTCTTACCTCTAGAGCACAGAGTGCCGATCCAATAATAACTGGTGTGTTTTCGCCGTTGTAGCCATACTCTGTGAGCAGCTCTCTGATCTCCAGCTCCACCAGGTCCAGCATCTCCTTGTCCTCCACGGCATCGGCTTTGTTAACGAACACCACCACATGCTCCACGCCGATCTGCCGCGCCAGCAGGAGGTGCTCACGCGTCTGTGGCATCTGACCGTCGGTCGCCGCCACCACTAGGATGCAGCCGTCCATCTGAGATGTGCCTGTGATCATGTTCTTCAGACAGAGACGCGCTTTTATAACACAGATGTAATGATAATGTATGTGCACACAACACTGTTGGGTCAGTAAAATTATTTTGAATGTTTTTAAAATAAGTCTCTTATGCTCACCAAGGCTGCATTTATTTGAAAACAGTAATATTGTGAAATATCATTCATTACCATTTAAAATAACTGTTTTCTATGTGAATACATTTTAAAATGTAATTTATTCCTGTGATCAAAGCTGAATTTTGTGCATCATTACTCCAATTTTCAGTGTCACATGATCCTTCAGAAATCATTCTGATGCTGATTTGCTGCTCAAGAAACATTTCTGATTATTAGTCATGTTGAAAACTTCTTGTGGAAACCATGATACATTTTTTTCAGGATTCTTTGATGAATAAAATGTTCCGAAGGTCAGCATTAATTTGAAATAGAAATATTTTGTAACATTATAAATGCCTTTACTGTCACTTTTGATCAATTTAATGCATCCTTCATGAATAAAAGTATTAATTTCTTCTCTGACTGACCCCAAACCTTTGAATGGTAGTGTAGTCAGATATGTTTTCTGTGTGCAATACCTTGACGTAGTCAGCATGTCCGGGGCAGTCGGTGTGAGCGTAGTGTCTATTAGCGGTGGTGTACTCCACATGCGAGGCGTTAATGGTGATTCCTCGAGCCTTCTCTTCAGGAGCATTATCAATATCCTCATATGTCTTATAACGTGCACCGCCGGCCTCGGCAAGGACTGACGCAAACAGATGAGGAAAATACAGTCAGTACACCACTTTTTGATTATTAAGAGATGAAAGCAAGTCATCAAGTCACCTTTGGTGATGGCGGCGGTAAGCGTGGTTTTGCCATGATCTACATGACCAATGGTCCCGATGTTCAAATGGGGTTTACTACGAGAGAAAACCTTCTTTGCCTCTGCTGCGAAATGCCTTCGACTTAGAGGAACTGCACACTAAGAGGGGGGGAGGACACTACTTGTATTATGTAAAATGTTCCTTTAAAGGGGTCATATGATGCCATTTCAAGTTTTCCTTTCTCTTTGGAGTGTTACAAGCTGATTGTGCATAGATAAGATCCCTGAAGTTACAAAGACTAAAGTCTCAAAACCAAAGAGATATTCTTTATAAAAGTTAAGACTCTGCCACGCCCCCCTAAAACGGCTCGTTCTAACACGCCCCCACATATCTACCTCATTATGTGGAAATATTTGCATAATGTGCCCAAATGTGCACGCAAAGAAAGAAGGCGTGGTTTCAGTAACCGCAGTTAGTGTTGAAGCAGCATGTCAGGGAGACGCTGTGTGTTTCTAGGCGAAAGCAAAAGCACTTTATTTGGCCTTCCGAAAGTAGATGCATTTAGGAATCTTTAAGATTACTTACAACAGAACAGCAATGCATTTTATGGACGACCGTTTCGTGAATCTAGGAGAGGAGGTAATTCTGACTTTGCTATGACAATCTGGTGCTTCTGAATCAGCTACTGTTTTGTTATTAGTTTAAGTATTTGCTATTGTCTGTCACGCGACTCTGTTCCCATTTTCTGAACTGATGGTAAAACTAATGACATTATTTACTGTCTTTACATTTATTTTGAAAGATGAAGCTCGCGATTATGGTAAGGGGCGTAACATTACCGACGAGTGCTTGCGGTGTTCGGCCAATCACAATGCACTGGGTCAGCTGGCCAATCAGAGCAGACTGCGCTTGTCGGAAGGAGGGACTTTGTAGAAAACAAAGCGTTTGAGAGAGGCGGGGCATAGAGGACCTACAATAATGTACAGTATTTGAAAAATAATGTGTTTTTTGAACATTAAAGCATGTCAACATATTCTGTTACACCAAATAATGATCTTTAAAAAAGCATCATATGACCCCTTTAAATATTATAACTTAGTGGCATTATTGTTCATACATTGCAATTATTTAAAAAATAAAAAAGTAATAAATAAAAAGGGAAAATGTTGGGTTTGATAGATTGTTAGCTTTAAGTATAAATTAATTTGGACTTAATTATGCAGTTTACAATATTTTGATTTGGTTTTACTCCCTACGATAATCCCAAATAGTATTTCAATAAAATCTATAGCATGAAGTTATGAACATTCGAACATGAAAACACTCACCAGTTTATAAGAGCTGTGCAGTAAACTCGGGGAGGTCAACTGCAGAGCTGGAAAACATGAGGGGAAAATTTGCTATATGTCACAGTCTCACACAAACCCAATAATTCATCTACGTACATAATATTTACAAAACAATTATAATAATTAAAAACAGGGCTCATTATCACATTAATCAACCCACCGCAAAACCAATGAATCAAAGCCTCAGTCTCTCTGCACAGCTGTCAAAAAATAGCACGAGACTGAAACAACCCTAATCCATTTCCCAGAAGTCTAATCTTGACACCGGACAGGTTCTCAGTTATACATGCATGCGCAACCTGATGCATTACAGTCATTAAAGCCACTGAATCTCTATGGTGCACAAGACACAGGCTGAGGAACTTGACCTTGCTTACGGAACGCATGAGCATCCTTCCTCTGTCCACACTCACACTCACACATACACGCATATATGATAGATTCTGCAAGCAAAACCCTCGTAGCGTAAACACAATGTCAACGTCGCGCGAAGAGAAAAAGAAACACATTTTGTAACTTACCGGAGAGGCACGCGCGGACACCCAAGAGCGCAGCCATTTTTGCGGACAATGACAAAACACGCATGCGCGGAGACACACACACACATGCGCCATCAACACTGGACGCGTTCTGTACCTCACCGTAAACCTTCTAAACAATTTGACCATTAAAATTTCATCTCCACCTAATCAGAATCAGAAGAATCAGAAAGAGCTTTATTGCCAAGTATGTTTGCACATACAAGGAATTTGTTATAGTGTCACAACAACGACACACAGATAATAAAAATGAGATGTGAATAAAATACACATGCATAAATATAAACCACAAAAAAAGAATAAATTGTATGTACAGGTGTGCTATAGATGGAATAGGAATAGAATAAAATAAAATAAGTTGTAGGGATGTACTAGGGTTTAGGGTGATAAATAAGTATACGGTTATTGCACATACTGTACTTTAATAGCACAATGGGAGAACATTAACTGTTCATGAGGTAGATTGCCTGGGGAAAGAAACTGTTCTTGTGCCTAGATGGGGGTTGCAGGAGGTGTTGATGGTTGTATGGAGAGATGTTCAGAGCGGGTGTGGGGTGTTAGACTGGGAGTTTCAAATCTACAGTAAAACTCATTCAGGTCTTCAGCAAGTTGTTGATTGGCCTCAGTGCTGGGGGATGGTGTCTTGTAGTTGGTGATGTCCTTCAGGCCTTTCCACACTGATGCAGGCTCATTCGCAGAAAACTGGTGTTCTAGTTTTTTAGCGTAGTTCCTCTTGGCCACTCTAATCTCCTTATTCAGTGTGTTTCTGGCCTGATTGTACAAGACTCTGTCCCCCCTTTTGTAGGCGTCCTCTTTGGCCTGACAAAGATGACAAAGTTTTGCTGTAAACCATGGCAATGGTTTGACTTCAGTTTTGCGAAACTATGCATAAAAAATATCTGCATGAAACCGAAACAGCAGACGAGCTGAACGAGACGCAGATTCACTCTCTGCCAGCAGGTGGCGCTTAAAGCGTTTCCTTGGTTTCTGCTGTAAACAAAGCAGCGCTGCACAGCCTGCACTTATGAACTTTAATATGCATTATACAGAGGCAAGAGGAAAAGAAAAAATACCATCGAAACTTTTCTAAAGACAGTAAGTTCCACTCAGACATGCATTCATATACCGGTAAACTCCTCCCCCTAAATGAATCGCGATTTGTTTAGCATCTCAACCGATTTGAATCCTCACGTATTTGAATCGATTTTCATCGCGGTTAATCGTTATCCCTAATATATATATACTGAACTATATACACTTTATAAGCAATATAGGAATCTAGTGGCTAAACCTTAGAATTGCAGATGTTTTTCCTTTTTTACTCCCACCAGATGGCACTAATCTGCATTCAAAAATTGCCATTGTCTCTATTTTAACATGAACTTCTGCCATAATTGAAAAGTAATATACACATTTTAGATTTTTTTTAATTATTATTTTCAATGGGAAAAATTGATCATAATTATTGCATAGATATTCATTAGTACCATAAAATTCTCTCAAAATACAAAAGAAAAAAATATTACTGAACAAAAATATATTACATTGAGTTTACTAATTAATAATAAATGTAAACAATTGTTAAGAATTTAACCGACTAAATATAGCTTCAGAAAGCAAATATAAAGGGGGGATGAGACAATTACAAGTGATAAACAAAAAGTACTTTCAATATCTGAGAGTGCTTTAAGTTTCCGAAAGTTTGCAGACAATCATAGCTATGGGTTTTTCTTTTTTCCTCCGCATTAGTGCTGTTTGATTATTGCTGATGAGATCATAGACAGTGGCAGCTTTAATAGGCTGCATTCACACTAATGCACAGATCTATTTCCACATATCAGGTGTTTTGGTCAATTAGTGTATTGGACGTTAGTCAATAACGCAAGAACACAATAATAAAGAGTCATTTTTCCAGATAAAGTCAGTTCATTGATGTCGGGATGCGCCGCGGTTGTCTCTAGTCTAGCGAACACACACGTGCCATTTGCGGGGAAAAAAACAAGCTCAGAATCGTTGAAGAGAGAATCGTGATGCATCGGACAATAAATATTTTCTCCCACCCCTAATCTCTTGATATGTGTCCCGACAGATTTATAAGTGTATTCTGTTGTGTTGACGTTTGTGTTGCGTATTAAAACACTTTTTCTTATCCAAATAAGCCAATTTCTCTCTTTTTTTTTTTTAGAGGATGGATTTTCTGAGAGGAGCTCTTGCAGAAGTGTGTAAAGGACAGATGGATGAGGTCGAGCAGATGAAACAGTGTTTGGAAGTGCTAAGTAGAGATGAATGCAGAGGGAGTGAGGAAGAGGAGAAGGATGAGCGAGAGGAAGTGCTGGAAATGCTTTCTGAGCTCTGCGAGAACTTGGACAATGCCAGAGGTGTGTGTGTGTGTGTGTGTGTGTGTGTGTTTGCCTTTCAAACCTCCTTGTTGTTGTTTTGTAACACGTGCATCACTTCTCTGCGTGGTCTGCAGATCTGATGAAGCTGGGCGGGCTGGATTTGTGTATGTCACGGTGTCTCTGTCACTCCGAGGCCGGGATTCGATGGAGGGCGGCTCAGCTTATTGCCAGCTGTGCCCAGAATATGCCAGAGGTGCAGTTCTACCTGCTCAACCAGGGGGCGCTGCTTACACTCCTGCAACTCGCAGATCACGACGCAAACAGCACAGTTCGAATAAAAGCACTCTACGCAGTGTCCTGTAAGTATAAATGTGCATATATTGACCAATAATAAAGTAATATATTGACTTGATATTGACCAAGATTTTAAGCGTGTGACTAAGCGAACGTTTTCATGACCACATCAGGATTTACTATTAACTTTTGTACTGAAATTTATTCTGTGCTAAGAAGCTGTTTGGTACATAGAAATCATCTAATCATCTCATTTTAATAATCTAAAATATATTTAATTCATTGATGTCGGGATGCGCCGCGGTTGTCTCTAGTCTAGCGAACACACACGTGCCATTTGCGGGGAAAAAACCAAGCTCAGAATCGTTGAAGAGAGAATCGTGATGCATCGGACAATAAATATTTTCTCCCACCCCTAATCTCTGATATGTGTCCCGACAGATTTATAAGTGTATTCTGTTGTGTTGCGTATTAAAACACTTTTTCTTATCCATATATAAGTAAGCCAATTTCTCTTTTTTTTTTTTTCTTTTTAGAGGATGGAGTTTCTGAGAGGAGCTCTTGCAGAAGTGTGTAAAGGACAGATGGATGAGGTCGAGCAGATGAAACAGTGTTTGGAAGTGCTAAGTAGAGATGAATGCAGAGGGAGAGGGAGTGAGGAAGAGGAGAAGGATGAGCGAGAGGAAGTGCTGGAAATGCTTTCTGAGCTCTGCGAGAACTTGGACAATGCCAGAGGTATGAGTGTGTGTGTGTGTGTTTGCCTTTCAAACCTCCTTGTTGTTGTTTTGTAACACGTGCATCACTTCTCTGCGTGGTTTGCAGATCTGATGAAGCTGGGCGGGCTGGATTTGTGTATGTCACGGTGTCTCTGTCACTCCGAGGCCGGGATTCGATGGAGGGCGGCTCAGCTTATTGCCAGCTGTGCCCAGAATATGCCAGAGGTGCAGTTCTACCTGCTCAACCAGGGGGCGCTGCTTACACTCCTGCAACTCGCAGATCACGACGCAAACAGCACAGTTCGAATAAAAGCACTCTACGATTTATGTGGTAAGTGAAATTTTATGTACTGTAATGTAACAGGCAGCCATTACACCATGTCTACACCGGATGCGATACTGAAGTCTATCAAAGATTTTAAGAAATTAAAGACGCATCAACTAAAGTCTGTCTACACTGGACGCGACAAAGCGACCGTTGAAAATCATTTGAAATTTGTGTCAGCACGTCATAAATAGAATGCGGCAGCAGTTTACTGTGTTTACTACACGCATCCAGTGTAGACAGCATCACTGATTATAATGAGTTCTATAGACTGATCTATATATAATAAATCTCTGTTATAGATCAGTGGTTCTATAGTATTTTGTCGTGCCACGCCACTCGCGTCCGGTGTGGAAACGGTGTTAGGAATCGTGTTTTCCCTTATAAGGATTCACACTTTGGGGACACCCCGGTAGCCCCCCGCCCCACTGTAGACATCGGGATGTCACAATCTTTGATGTTAACGACAAAAAACATGGAAAACATTTGCTCTTACTTTCCAAAAGTTGATAAACCTATTTATTTTGGTTATTTTTGATTGGTGTCTCAACATTGTTTTTTTTTTTTCAATTGAAAGGCTTCCAGCAGCAAGTCTCCTCTTTATACTGTCTCTGAAGTTAAGCATCTACAACTCTTGTCTATTGCAGGTTTAGTCCGGGAACAGGAAGCAGGTCTGCGGGACTTCCTGTCACATGATGGCTTTTCAGTTCTGATGAGGGGGATGCAGTCAGACAGTGAGAAACTGAGAACTAAATCAGCGTTCCTTCTGTTAAACCTTCTGACCAGTCATCCAGAACACAAAGGTAGTGCTGAATCTGGACGCATTCGGTTAGACCATCATGAGTCCAGTTTGTATGAGTAGCTATGTTTCCATCATCCTGTTTTTATGTGCATTTTGAAGTATCGCATTATAAACGAGTAATAGAAACACCACAATTCGAGGGAAATAATCCCTTAATTCACAAAGTTTTTACGCTCAGTTGAGAGCGAAAAAAAAGAGTTAATGCGAATAATGAGAGATGGAAACACATTTACCCAATAAATTTCTTCATGTGCAAAGAAAAAGTCATGTGACATTACGTGATGGGACAGGATAACTTGACTAACCAGCGGACCGATCTCGTTGCACAGCATCTCAAATGTTGTTTTGGTCATTATGCAATGTCTGTCATCAAAGTATTTCGGTAAGATTGCCTTACACAACTGTGTTCCCAAACAGCAGCATCCACCTCCGAAAGCAATGACCGCATTTATTGTGTTTCGTCTGCTCGCTCTGAAGCGCAAGTCATTTAAAATGATAATATTCAGTAGCTTCTCCTACTTTTCTTAGTAATATTTAGTGCCAGATTATCAGGAAGTGACGATTTTGTTCTCTTTGACAAGTTGGATGGAAACTGTGCTTTATTCACAACTGTTTTATGCGATATTCCAGTTTTGCATTCACAACTTTGGATGGAAACCTAGCTAGAGTTTCATGTGTTCGATCCTACTTTCTATTTCAGATACGGTGTTGTCTATGGGGATGGTGCAGCAGCTGGTGTCAGTTCTTCGCTCCCCTCATTCCTCTGTACATGAACATGTGCTTGGTGCCCTCTGCGGGTTAGTAGCATTGTTGCATGATGAAAACCAAACTGCAGTATGCCGGTGGAATTACATCAGCTTTTGGAGTTTGAGACCCGGTTTCTGACAGTTCTTTTATCATGTATGTTTGTAGCTTGGTTGAGGACTCTCCCCGTGGTGTGAACGATTGCAGAGATGCATCGCTTGGCTTGGAGGAACTGCTCAACCAGCGAGTGCAGGACCTAAGGGGGCGAGAGGAGAGCCTGGTAAAACTATTGTTTTAAACTAAACATGAAATCAAAATGGACCCTGTTTAATATATAATAAATCTCTGTTATAGATCAGTGGTTCTATAGTATTTTGTCGCGCCACACCACTCACGTCCGGTGTGGAAACGGTGTTAGGAATCGTGTTTTCCCTTATAAGGATTCACACTTTGGGGACACCCCGGTAGCCCCCCGCCCCACTGTAGACATCGGGATGTCACAATCTTTGATGTTAACGACAAAAAACATGGAAAACATTTGCTCTTACTTTCCAAAAGTTGATAAACCTATTTATTTTGGTTATTTTTGATTGGTGTCTCAACATTGTTTTTTTTTTTTTCAATTGAAAGGCTTCCAGCAGCAAGTCTCCTCTTTATACTGTCTCTGAAGTTAAGCATCTACAACTCTTGTCTCTTGCAGGTTTAGTCCGGGAACAGGAAGCAGGTCTGCGGGACTTCCTGTCACATGATGGCTTTTCAGTTCTGTCAATTGAAAGGCTTCCAGCAGCAAGTCTCCTCTTTATACTGTCTCTGAAGTTAAGCATCTACAACTCTTGTCTCTTGCAGGTTTAGTCCGGGAACAGGAAGCAGGTCTGCGGGACTTCCTGTCACATGATGGCTTTTCAGTTCTGATGAGGGGGATGCAGTCAGACAGTGAGAAACTGAGAACTAAATCAGCGTTCCTTCTGTTAAACCTTCTGACCAGTCATCCAGAACACAAAGGTAGTGCTGAATCTGGACGCATTCGGTTAGACCATCATGAGTCCAGTTTGTATGAGTAGCTATGTTTCCATCATCCTGTTTTTATGTGCATTTTGAAGTATCGCATTATAAACGAGTAATAGAAACACCACAATTCGAGGGAAATAATCCCTTAATTCACAAAGTTTTTACGCTCAGTTGAGAGCGAAAAAAAAGAGTTAATGCGAATAATGAGAGATGGAAACACATTTACCCAATAAATTTCTTCATGTGCAAAGAAAAAGTCATGTGACATTACGTGATGGGACAGGATAACTTGACTAACCAGCGGACCGATCTCGTTGCACAGCATCTCAAATGTTGTTTTGGTCATTATGCAATGTCTGTCATCAAAGTATTTCGGTAAGATTGCCTTACACAACTGTGTTCCCAAACAGCAGCATCCACCTCCGAAAGCAATGACCGCATTTATTGTGTTTCGTCTGCTCGCTCTGAAGCGCAAGTCATTTAAAATGATAATATTCAGTAGCTTCTCCTACTTTTCTTAGTAATATTTAGTGCCAGATTATCAGGAAGTGACGATTTTGTTCTCTTTGACAAGTTGGATGGAAACTGTGCTTTATTCACAACTGTTTTATGCGATATTCCAGTTTTGCATTCACAACTTTGGATGGAAACATAGCTAGAGTTTCATGTGTTCGATCCTACTTTCTATTTCAGATACGGTGTTGTCTATGGGGATGGTGCAGCAGCTGGTGTCAGTTCTTCGCTCCCCTCATTCCTCTGTACATGAACATGTGCTTGGTGCCCTCTGCGGGTTAGTAGCATTGTTGCATGATGAAAACCAAACTGCAGTATGCCGGTGGAATTACATCAGCTTTTGGAGTTTGAGACCCGGTTTCTGACAGTTCTTTTATCATGTATGTTTGTAGCTTGGTTGAGGACTCTCCCCGTGGTGTGAACGATTGCAGAGATGCATCGCTTGGCTTGGAGGAACTGCTCAACCAGCGAGTGCAGGACCTAAGGGGGCGAGAGGAGAGCCTGGTAAAACTATTGTTTTAAACTAAACATGAAATCAAAATGGACCCTGTTTACTTTTTTATTTTATGTGATTTTTTTGGTGAATGTTGTTATTATTATTATTATTAACCTTTATTTAACCAGGCTAGTCATTTAAGAACAAGTTCTTATTTACAACAACAGCCTGGATAATTCTTCCAAAGATCCAAATCCATCATCAAAATTAAATAGCTTGTTTCGCCTCTGAAATGACTTTCCTTCTAAGCTCACATCACCTAGGCCACACACATACATTGTAAAAGATTTTAAGTTGTAAAAAAAACAAAAACATTATTGGAGTACGTGTTACAAGAAAATCAATTTCAGTCTTTTTTCTTAAAAATGTCATGTTTAATTCAGTGTGTTACTTGCTGATTCTTTGTAATTATTTGTGAAATGTACTTGCAATTTCTAAATGAAAATTGGTGAAGAAACAATTTTCTTTTTTTTTCATGGGTGGTAATATTAGCAGATAATATTAGCATATAGTCCAGTGGTTATGTATTGTTTAAGCTGCCCTTGTAAGTAAATGCAGACTTTCACCGTAATTAAATCTAAATTAAAATGAACAACATACAGTTCTACCGCAATAATAGCTATTCATTAGCCAATCAGTGTTTGGTATCTTAAACTAAAACTATTTAATTAACTGGTTATTTGAAATAAAGTCAAATATACATTTTAGATGGAAAAATACAAGCTACTAACTGAAGTAAAATAATTGGCATCAACAAATAAGTAACCTAAAGTGATAATTGATAAAACTGAAATAAAAATAAATTAAAGCTTAAACAAAATATTTAAGAAAAAAAAGAACTGATAAAAATGACAAAAGTTCAGGGGAAAAAATTTCAACAAATTTTAAATCTAAAGTTCAATTCAAAATATTAATAGAATACTGTATTTTTTTTATAAATAAAACTGAAATAACACTAGAGCCAGTCAGTTATCAGTGACTTGAAGCATTTTTTCCCCATTCTCTTATTCAGTACTCTGGTTCACATGTCCCATTTTGCCAGTATAATGGGTCGTGAACAATGTTTCATAATGACTTAAATGTTTGATTGTTTTCTTTCCTGCAGGAGGAGCTGGAGTGTTGTGAACGTTTACAAGCGGCTTGTTTCCAAGGGCGGCCCCAGGACGACAGTGGAATGGATCGCTGAGGTCTTAGTGGTGATTCCTGCTACACAGCGCAAACACAAAAAAAGCAACCGGAGTTTGAATTCCCTCTCTGTTCAAGAGAGAAACAAAAACTAGAAATAGAAATGAGGAAGAGAGAAACTTTTATAAAGAGAAAAAGAGACTCCATTTTCCGAGTTCAGTTTGGCTACGTGTGCTCTTGCATAATCATATACCATGAACTGTACACAAACACTTTTGTGTTATATTATCAATATGTACATTTTGTATAATATGTCAGTTTGTTATTGTAAATTATGTGCGGTTTAGGGTCAACTTCATAAATGTTAAAATCCTCTTTACACCTGAACAGCTATACAAATGCAAAGCCATGATGCGGAACTTCACATCAATATAATAATATTTAGTAAATTCTAAAATAAAGATGAAAGTGTACCGGTACAAGCATCTGTCCAAGCTTAATTCTGAAAAAACTAAAAACATGGTTGTGAGTTCCAAGATTCAGAAGCATAAAAACACCTGCACAAACATCTGCTTTTTTTTATTACATAATCAGTAAAAACTATGATTCTGTGCTTTGAATGTAATTATTGAAGTGAATATGATTTATGATTTTTTTTTTGGACGTAGTAGTTTAGTATTGTCCTGATTCATCTGTAAGATTTGAACAATCAATTGCAAAATGTTTTAACACGTAGTGGATTAAGATACTGTACACAGTTTTGATCCCATGATAACTCATAATGAAAAGACTAGTGATATTTAAACTGCGCTCTGTTTCAGAACAAGGATTTTTTTTTGGATTATTAAAATGAAAATTATTTATGGTTTATTCAGGATAAATGGGACAATTTGACTCAGTCATTTCAATGTTAAAGCTTTGCAAATTGACCTGAATTCACTTCTATCAAATAAGATTTAAACTTTTCCAAATTTCCATTAAAATCCTAACTATTTTTCTAATTGGTGAACTGGTCAGGTTGTTTACCCTGTGATAAAACATATCACCAAGTAAATTACATATCAAAGGCTGCTTCGATATATAGCAAGACCAAAATGGAAGCTTTATCTATTAACAGTTTCCACTTATTCACAAGAACTATTTTTATTTAATATTTTTTGCTAGAATTATTAAACGTATCTGAAAGATTACTAGCAATAAGAAAACACTTCTCTCTAAGATTACATACTTTGTAATAGGTGTTATAGAATTTCTGTTTTTTCAGTCTCTTTGAATAATGTTTTAAGTTTGGAAGTAAATTATTACTTTTTTTTGGTGATATCCAGAGAAGTTAAGATTTTTGGCTTATTTCTTTTCTGGCTTTGGTTTGAAAGTATGTAATTGGGTTTATGTTTGTTCAACTGTAAGCAGACTGAAAGCAAAGATTACATACTTTGTAATAGGTGTTATAGAATTTCTGTTTTTTCAGTCTCTTTGAATAATGTTTTAAGTTTGGAAGTAAATTATTACTTTTTTTTTGGTGATATCCAGAGAAGTTAAGATTTTTGGCTTATTTCTTTTCTGGCTTTGGTTTGAAAGTATGTAATTGGGTTTATGTTTGTTCAACTGTAAGCAGACTGAAAGCATCTGTCACTTTCTCAAAGCAAAATCTTTATATCATGGAACACACTGGTTTATCAGCATGTGCTTATGTAAGTGTTGGCATGCATTTATAATGCGTATGAGGTGCAGGTAGATGCATAACTGGACTGCGTGAACAGAGACTCTTCAGTGCTAAGATCTGTCCTGATGCATTGGCACTCGTGGCTGCTTCTCTCTTTGCTTGTGGTGTTTGCTGCTGAAGGTAAGCCACATTCAGTTTTTTAGTCACTATGCTGAATAATTACTGGTTTAGCACTAGATATATTACCAAAATTTTGTTCACTCAAAAGGTACATTTATGTGTTTTTTTCACCTTTCTTGTCATTTCAAACACAGATGACGTTCTTCCATCATGAGCTGAACTATCTAGAATGCTCTTTTTTTTCATAATTGGGTCAAAACATTTAAAAAGAACACAAGTATAGTAAAAGTTTTTGATGTAACTTCCAACTCTGCTGAAGCTGTACCAAAGCTTTGTTTGAGTAACAGACCAAAATGTATTCATTATTCACTTAAAATATTGCTCTACTTCATCCCAGGTTTGACATCAATGACAAAACATAAGAACCTACACTGTTAGACTTGTCGTATTTTTGTGGTAAATTACTGGCAGCACTATTACCAGTAAGTTACTGTAACTACCCCTTTACAGTAGCTTATCGCAAGTTCATTTTACAGTATAATGCCCTTACCGCAATCTCCTTTTACAGTATGATGGCCTTACCGCAATTTAAATTTACAGTGAAATACCCTTACTGCAACTTAATTTTACAGTATAATATTACAGTAATTTATTTCACTATTTTATAAAACCTTTGAATATTTTACATGAATGCCATTGAATCTAATAAATTCCAAATAATGTAATGTAGTAATGTACAACAGTATATTTTTTTTATTCACTGTCACTATTAAATACATCCATTACTTATTTATTGTGCTTTATTCTGGAACATTACAAAGAAAAAATAGAGAACTGAATTCATAACAACAAATCAAAGCAGAGATCATGACAATATTGCAACAAAAAGAAATATGGCAACAAGCATCCTAGTTGGTCTTGGCTGCATGGCTTCCATAACCACCGACAGCTGATCTGAAACAAAACAGAGGGGAAATGTGTGCGAAATGGTCATGAGTTTATCTCATCTAAATTTGTTCATGGACAGACAAGGTAACAACTTGTGCAACAGCAGTTATTCCCAGTATAGTACTGTGTAAACACTTGCTTTTTTGCACATCCTTGTCAGGGAACTCCATTAATTGCCTAAATGTACAATCACATTAAAGAGGCACACTGAGTTAACTTTATGGTCCTTCAAACTTATTTTTTGGCAGTGTTTTAAAATATATTTTTAGTTGTGACAGCTCTTGATCCAAGGAATATCAGTGTGTATCAGCTACTGTAACATTTGTATTGTTTGTAAATATTAGAGCAAAACAGGCTTTTGAGTCAATCTAGAAGTACTCTTGAAGAATACAGGATTATAACCAAAATGAATACTAAATCAAGGTACACAAATGGCTGTCATCAAATTCTCAGAAATATTTTAATCCAATTAAATCGTATGGAAACTGGAATCATATGGAATCAGAATAAGAGAATAAGAATAATTGTGAATCAAACTGAATTGAATCAAGATCAGAACTGAATTAAGAGCTTGTGAATCATATGGAATTATGAAATCTGTATCAATCCCCAGCCCAACATCTATGTGTGTGTGTGTGTGTGTGTGTGTGTGTGTGTGTGTGTGTGTGTGTGTGTGTGTGTGTGTGTATGTATGTATGTATGTATGTAAAAAAACGTACAAAGCCAAAGGTGCCGTGATGGGTATTCCTTAAAAGAGTCTCTGGGGTGTAGTTGGCTCCTGCTGACACAAGAAAAAGGGAGAAAGAGAGGAAACATTGCATATCTCCGGTGTGGGATGCTTGATCATATACATATATATATCTCAAAACATCTCAGACATTTCTGTCATAGCTGCAATTAATCTAATGTCACATACTGCAGCTGATAGTTAAAACATACTTACAAACCCAAAGATGCTCAGTGCTGTGGCTCCTAAAATAGCCTTTGGGGTGTAGTTAGCTCCTGTTGAAACAAGCAAAAGAGAGAAAATGAATAATATTTATTTTCTGTCAGTGATTATTGGCTAATCACTATATGTTATGAACATGATAAATCATAGATCTAGAATGACTGCTAGATTAATCACTTACACAATCAGATTACAATCAACACTGAAAAAAGAGAGAAGAGAATATATATATATGTGTGTGTGTGTACACCACACCACACACCAACATCACACACACACACCAACATCACACACACACCACACCACACACCAACATCTCACACACACCACACATATATATATATGTGTGTGTGTGTGTACACCACACCACACACACACACCACACACCAACATCACACACACACACCAACATCACACACACACCACACCACACACCACACACCAACATCTCTCACACACCACACACCAACATCACACACACACCACACCACACACCAACATCTCACACACACCACACCAACATCACACACCACACTCACACCCACACCACACCACACACACACCAACATCTCTCACACACACACCACACACCAACATCACACACACACACCACACACCACACCACACACACACCAACATCTCTCACACACACCACACACCAACATCACACACCACACCACACACACACCAACATCTCTCTCACACCCACACCCACACCACACCCACACCAA